GCTTTTTCCTTGATGGGCGATAGAGTCTCATGTTTTTCCTTTAATCAAGTGGGCTTCTGCTGTCTTCCCAGATGATGTTTACGTTTCCTGGACAGTGATCCATTTCTGTCAGTTTCTCTGGCTCACTAAAGGCTGACTCCCAAGTCTGCACATCTACTCAGCCTTCACAGACATTCCAGATGCAATCACATCCCACCCTTGGTGCCCTTGGTGCCTGGTACCTTCTGCAGTCCACCTGGCATGTGACCCGGATGCCTCCTTCCCTGCTTCCTGCCAAGCCGAAGGCTCAGCCCCTGTGTCTGAAAAGTCCTAAACCATCCTGCAGCCTCAGTATCCCAGGGATGGGCAAGATCCCTGTACTCGGAAAGGGAAAGTAGGTTTCTTTTATGATCCCATAATTCTTCCGTAAATCTCACATTCATGGCTGGGAATAGAGTTACCTAGTGATGCAGACATGAGAGAAATGCTACAGATCCCTAATGTCTCTGTCTCTTTGGATTCAAATCCTGACTGCCCCCCACTTCCTAGCCATGTAACTTGGGGCAATTTGCTGGACTTCTCCCACCTGTAAGATGGGATAAGGAGACTAATTACCTGTACTCTTGAGTGACAGTGTTAAATGAGCTCTGACAGTGAAGTTTTCAGAGCAGTGCTTGGCGCATAGCAAACATCCCATCTATGTTAGCTGCTGATAATAATTATGATTGCCGTGCTAACGTGCCTCAGCAAGTGGGATAAGTTATGATAGGTTTTCTCCACAAGCCTTGGTAGACTCACACGCACTTACCAGCAACCCGCAGAAGTCTATTTCGGGACATTTTCTCCAGTGTCACTCCATCTCACATGTGAAAGCTTGTCAGCAGATGTCATCTACACCAGCAGCTTGCTGCCCCCAAGCCAGCAGTGGTGGGTGATGCTGTCCCTCAAGGGACCAGGACATGACATTTGTCAGTAGTCAGACAAGCGCTGATGAAAATTATCAGCAAGACTAACCCTGAGTCAGATTTTCCGAAGCAGGCATATGGTTTAGCAGAAGGATCAGTGCCCCGGAAGAGAGAACGTGGGCATAACTTCTCCCTCTACTGTGTGACTCTGGGCAAGTTACTTTCTCCCTCTGGGCCTTGGTTGCTTTATACTTGAGATGGCCCTGACCAGAAACCATCACTAACAACCTCCCTTTAACAACATCTCCTTAAGGGAGCACATCACACCTATAATTTAAAATGGACAGTTACTGTATATCCTGCTCTCTCTCGCAGTTTTAAGTTCCAGAGAGTCATATCCCTTGTGCCCATCTTTGCATTCACGGCCCCTCTCGGTGCCTGCCGCACAGTCACTTGTTTTGAGGATCGAATGTGAAAACATTACACGCACGCATACACCAGCCTTGCCCTGATGTCTGGTGTATAGTGGGTATTAGATAAACACAGCTCTGACTTACTTTTCCAGAGCCTAGCGCAGCAGAATGCAGTATGCTGTGCCTTGCTCAGGAGAAAACGGTAAATCTGGATATACGTTAAGTTTCTCCCTCCTCCAGTTTTTTGAGCCAGATGCATGTCCCTCAGTCTTCCTGCTGGCTCAGCACTTGGCAAGCACCAGGATCTTTGAGTGAGCCTTTGAGGGGGCTTCCCTGGCCCAGGGCAGCCAGGTTGCAAAGGGCTTTCTCAAATCCCCTTGGCCTGCCGGTGATCCCACCATGTTTTCCCCCTACCTTCCTTTACCCTGTGCTGCTTTTTCTAGAACAGCAGGCACCAGTGTCTACCCAGAGGTGAAAGGCAGACCCAGATTCCCACCTGGGCACAGAGCAGAATGAGATATGATGAGATAAGAGGTGGCCTGGAGCGGGTTGGGGGCACCTGCAGACCTGGGTCCTTGTTGTAGCCTTGACCCGATCCAAACTCACCATGTGATCTCGGACAAGCCACCTCCTCTGTAAGCCTCACTGCCCTCCTCTGCAAAGCATTCTACCCATTGATGCCATGCATGGTGGCAGGAGGGAACCTGGGTTTTCGGGCTGAGAGCTGGCTTCGTATCTCAGCTCTGCCGCTTACCAGCTGTGAGATTCAGATAAGTCAGGAACTGTCTTCATAAAATGGACAGTGAGATCCAAATGGGCTTAATTGGGGGAGGGGTTTAATGACACAGTGTTTCGAAGTGCCTGGCATATTTGTTTGTCTGGAGACCCACAGGCCAGCCCTTACTTTTACTTGGTGTAAGTTTCTCCCTGTTGAGGAAGTTCAAGTTCCCTGAGTCAGATACACATCCATCAGCCTCCCTGCTGGCTCAGCACTTGGCAAGCACCAAAATCTCATGCAGCAAAGACATGATCCCCACAGGGTGTGAGTGACACCAGCTCGCATGCAATTATTTTAATGCATGGCCCAGGACCTTCTCGTGCCCAGGCTGGTGTATCCTCGTGGGGAGAATCTCTCCTCTCCTTACCCCTCGCATCCTTCAGAAGGCAGAGGAAGAGAACCCACCCTGCACACTCCTCCCTTCCTGAAATGCAAGTGCCGTTGAGTGGCCTCCTCCCAGGGAGGATCTGCTGGAAGAAGGAGAGACGAGGGCAGAACGCTGGTAGGCAGGCTTCTGCCACCATCTTTGAGGGGAGGAGAGAACCCCCAGAATTCAGGGTCACCTGACGTGCAGGCACTGGGCTGGGCATTTGTTTAAGCCTCTTAACTGCTTTGCGGAGTCGGGATTACTGGTTCCCACCTTGCTCGTGAAGAAACCGAGGCTGCAGAGAGTGGGACCAGCTGCCCAGGGACCCGCACAACTGAGAGTCACGGCCAGGCCGGCCTGACGTCCCCAGTTCTTGCTCTGCCGTTACCCTGTGTTCCCTGTGCCGTGAGAGAGGGGCTTGGTCTTACAGAACAGCATTTACCCAGAAGGCTGCAAGGGCCTTGAACCCTGAGAGAGAGGGCCTTCCAGATCTTTCCAAATGGTGGAGGCCCAGTTCAGGCAGAATGTGGCTAAAGGAGGAAGCCAGGAAGGGACCGAGCTCTGGACACCGCATTGCCTTCCTCTGTCTCAATGTCAACTATGCTCATCCTCCCGACCATGGGAGGCAAGTGGGGGAAGGCGAGAGCTAGTTTATTTCTCTGGGAATGTGACTAGGCATGAACAGGGAAGTTTTGAAAACCTGGCTTCTCCTGCTCTCCCTGTGCAGACAGAAGACCAGGGGCTCTCAAATCAGGTTTATTCGAACTTGGGCTTGAATCCCGGTTGTCACATTTAACAACTTTGTGGCCTTGGGCAAGTCATTGTTCCAGCTTCTTCATCTCTAGAATTGTATTCCTTGTTCAGGTCGCTGTGAGGATTAAAAGACCCTGACATAATGCTGGTGATGAAGGGTCCCCCCATCCCCAGACAGCTCCCTGGCCAAGGGCATGAGCTGTCCCTGCTGGCTCCTCGTTTGGCCCTCCCACCGCACCACTCCTGTCTTGTCCATTACAGTCCAATCATCTTTTTTTTTTTTTTAATTTATTTGACAGACAGATCACAAGTAGGCAGAGAGGCAGGCAGAGAGAGAGGAAGGAAAGCAGGCTCCCCGCTGAGCGGAGAGCCCGATGCAGGGCTCAATCCCAGGACCCTGGGATCATGACCTGAGCCGAAAGCAGAGGCTTTAACCCACTGAGCCACCCAGGCCCCCCTACAGTCCAATCATCTTACTCAAAGCCAGAGTTAGTCATTCCCCCTCCATAAGATCCCCAGCGCCACAGCTGAGCTCTAAGCTAGGCTCTTCCTGTGCCCCTCTCACCCCCACAGCCTCCTCTCCCACCCAACCCACCTGTCCCCTGAGCTCCGGCTACAGCATGTGAGCTCACATTTTCCGGAGGGCCTTCCCTCCCCTGGACCATGCCACCTCCATTCCCTCTGGGCTGATCCCCTGCCTCCCGGGAAACTCTGGCTCGTCCTTCAAGCTCCAGCACGTGCATCCCTAGAGCCCCTGTGTTAGAGCCCCCTTTCCCCGTGAGCCTCCCTCCACCATCGCATTCTGTCCTGTTTGTGGACACGTCTCTGGCCAGCCGCCAGCCAATCAAGGGCGAGCACTGTCAGCAGAGCTCACTGCCCTTTCTCCCAACTTAATACACTCCATGCACTTACGAGCCAGCCTTCGTGGACAGCTCACCTTCTGCCAGACGCAACTTACGTGCTTTCCGTGTAGGAACCCATTTTTTTCTCGCGACAGCTCTGTGACACGGTGCATCCATCAGTCCTGGCTAGAGGCAGAAACCATACCAATTATTCGAACAGAGAACTTAATCTTTAAAAATGGCAACTAGATGTAAAGTGTTGATTTGGTAATGAAAAAAGCAAAAACAGAAAATGGCAGGCAACATTTCCCATCCCCGGAGCCGAAGGAGCAGAGGGAGAGGTGGGAAGCATTACTAGTCGGGGCTGGCACCCAGGCCTGGGCTGGGGGCAGCAGGCAGCTCCAGAGGCGGACCAGGAAACTCATCCTAAGTGTTGGAAAAGCTGCAAAATGATTCTAGCTGCTGCTACAGGAAGGAAGTGCCGCTGCCACCTGGAAGAAAGGAGATAGGGTGATGCAGGCACAGGAAGCACAAGGGGGCCGCCTTCCTTTTTCCTCCCCCAGACCCCCAGTCTCCCTCTCACAGCCCCCGCTGGCAGCATCTTAGGGGAGACGGTTGGCAAAGTAGAAGTAGGGTTTGACCTCAGCATCACCAAGCAGTCTGGGAGTGAGGGAAGCTCGCACACTGGCACAGAAGGGAGCTGTTGCTCTCCCCATTTCACAGACAAGGAAACTGAGGCATGGAGAGTAAGTCACTTGCCCGAGAGCAGAGGCAGGATCTGAACCCGTGCGGTCTGGCCTCGGTGCCCTTCCTCTTCACCTGCCTACCGTAAATGGTGAAGGAATGAGTGAGGGAGCGAGTGAATGGATGAGCCCACGAACGGTGCTTAGACCGGTGGCCAGCCGAGTCTGCGCACAAGCGTGAGGTCCTCCCTGCCTGCTTGCTTCCTTGTCGCCCTGCCAGGTCATCCACTGGAACTCCCCCAAGAAGCTGCGGGTGAAGAACAAGCACGTGGAGTTTTTCCGCAACCTCTACCTGACCTTCCTGGAGTATGACGGCAACCTTCTGCGGAGAGAGCTCTTCGGCTGCCCCAGTGAGGCTGACGTCAACAGTGAAAATGTAAGTGGCTCGCAGGGTGCAGGGGAGGCCCCCACACACTGGGCTCCGGGCACACCCAGGATGGACAGTACCCTGCCCTTGCCCTGGGTGTCCCATCAGGTGGGGGACACAGATGCATCAGCATCACTGCAGATGCAGAGCGGGGATGCTCGGCCGGAGTTTCCAAGCAGAGGAAGCAGAAGGAGCCAGAATTCCCATGAAGCAATAGATAGTGTGTCTCTCCGTAGCCGGGAAACTCTGAGGTCCTTGTGGACGTGGCACCCACGCGGGAGAGCCAGCGTTTGGTGCGGTCAGTGCGCGGGTGGCAGCAAAGATTTTCACAAGTAACGGGTTTCTGGAGGGTTCGCCTAGGCAAAGGAAATGTTCGGTACGTGGTCACAGGCATAGCTAGCACCTGTGTTTTCCTGTCTCTTTGCTGCTTTTAATTTTTGCCTGCTGTATCTCATCGGATGTTCTTAGAGACCCTCTTTCTTTCCCCAATGGGAGTGGAGAGATGGAGGCCCAGGGAGGTTCCCTGGGCTGCTCAGAGCCAGCAAGCAGCCAAGTAGAGAGTGATCTCAGGCTCTGGGGAACAGGAAATGGGGAAGACAGCATTCCGTGTCACAGAAAAGGCAGGGCAGGGCAGGCTGACCTGGGTTTGTCCAGTTACCAAGTATGTGATGTCGGGCAGGTCACTCAACCTCTCTGTGCTTCTGCTTCCTCAACCACTGAATGGAGATGCAAAACTTAAAGTTGTGTCTTGAGACTAAGTACGAAATTGCATTTGAAGCACCTGGTTCAGCCTCTGCCGTGCGTTAGGTGCTCAAGAAGCATTTCCTCCCTTTTCTTGACCCTCAGTGTAGACACAGAATTAATCTGTTCATTCAGCGAACATTCACTGAGGGCCTTCCTGTCGGAGCAGTGAGCATTCACAGGTACAAAAGGACACCAGTCCTTGCGGTCGTGGTGCTATATGCTCATGGGGGAAACAGAGTTGATAACTGTATGGACATTCAAAGGAAGTGATCAGCCAGCGGCAGGTGCTCCATGGCGGAATGTTAATGAGCAGCTGGGCTGCTCCATGGGTTTGCAGGGTAGGGGTGGGGAGGGAGCTTCTCCGAGGAGGTGATGGCCCTCTGAGTCCTGAATGACAAGAAAGAATCAGCCGTAGTAGAGCAGGGGGTGAGGGAAATACAAATCAAAGCCACAATGAGCTACCTCCGAACGCCTGTTGGGGTGTCTGTTACCAAAGAACAGAAGGGGACGGGAGTTGGTAGCACGTGGGGAAGTCGAACGCTGTGCACTACAGGTTGAATGCAGGATGCTGGGGCTGCTGTGCCGAACAGTAGGGAGGCTCCTCCAGAAATGTCAGAGGCAGAACTGTCCTCTGACCCAACAGCCCCACTTTGGGGATGTATCCCCAAGAACTGAGATAGGGATTCCCAAGGCAGTGTGTGCTTTGCCACGGTCAGGGCCGCGTTACCCTTGATGGCCATGGGGGGAGACAACCCCTCACCCATCCACAGATGAACAGATAAAATGGGCTGCATGTGTCCAATAGAATTTTGTCCAGCCTTAGAGCTAAGGAACTCTTAGCCTTACCCTTGTGACAACTTGAGTGGGCCAGGGAGTTGAGATGCTGAGGAAAGAGGCCCGTCACCGAAGGGTAACTACCGCGCGAGTGCCTCACATGAGAGGCATCTGAAATCATAAACATACAGAGCTAGCAACAGAATGCTGGTTACCAGGGGATGGGGAGTGGGGTCATGGGGAGCCCATGTTCAGTGGGTGCAAAGTTACACAATGTTAAGTCCCAGAGATCTGCTGTACAACGTAGCACTTGTCGTTAACAGGGTATGGTGCCTTTAAACATTTTAAGAGGGTAGATCTCATGTTAAGTGTTCTGGCCACACTCTTCATACACACAGAAGAGCCTAAGAAACTTTGGAACGGGGGACGATGGATATGTTTATTACCTTCACTGTGGTGAAAGTAACATATGTCCAAACTCACCGAATTGTTTTCATGATGTGTAATTTTTTATATTGCCAATTCTGCCTCAGGAAACCTGGGGAGGGAGGTGGAAGAGCAGGGGAAGTACATTCTGGGTAGGCGGTAGTAGCCAGTACAAAGGCCCTGAGGCAGATCAGGGCCCCGATATGAGGACCTGAAGGACAAGCAGCATGCCCAGGGGGCTGGAGGGAGAGGAGAGCAGCAGAAGCCGAGCATCAGGAAGGCAGGAGGCAGGTTGGAAGGATGTTGTGAGCAGTGAACGAGTCAGAATTTTGTTCTATTACTATTATTGTTTATGTTCTTATGTTGGACATCCTGAGAATTCTTTTTGGCTCCCAGTGGCAAGGGAAGGTGTCTGTGGAAGGTCTAGAGGAGGCACTCACCTGGCCCTTTACCTGGACGACTGGTCCCAAGGCCACCATGCCCCCCAGTATTCAGCTCCCAGGTCCCAGTGGAGTCCCCTCGAGCTATGGCCCTTCCCTGCATCACCCTCCATGCCTTTGCCAGTAGTGTCTGCCCTTATCTCCCACTGGCAATAGAGGAAAGAATACCATTAAGCACTTGAACTCTGGCTCAGATTCTGGGAACCACTTAGAGGTTTCGACAAATGCTGTGTTCTTCTGGTTTTTCCTTCCTGCTCAAGTCCGTATTTGCCATCATTATCAATATCTGAGTGCCCATTCGACACTTTTCCCCCAAACGCTAAATGAAAACTGTTCTCCTGCCTTTATTTTTTCCTGCATGGAAGAGACTCACATAAAAAGCCTTGGCAGGATGAAGCCATCAGTTAACTGTCCTCCAGGTACACTGGTCAGAGTCTCACGAAGTGGGACTCCCATTAGATGTGACCCACCCACTTCTCCTACCGCCAGCTTCTCCTGGTAGTGGGGACGTCACCACTGGTTCTTCTCGTCATCCGTGACTGCATGTATTTGCTCAACAAGCAAGCATGAATGCTCGCCATCTGCTGGGCACCTTGCAGGGCACTGGGGTTGAACTTAGAGGCCGACCCCGTCCCTATACGGAAGTCGCTTGACACGTAACGAGTGTGAGACATGCCAAGAGGTTGATCTCTCCGGGTGCAGGGAGGGCCAGGCATGAGAGCGCAGCCTTCTCTGAGCGCTCACCACAGCTGTTGTCCCAAAGGCTCTGCCCTTGACTGTGCACTAGCCACACCCGCCACCTGTCCTTCCTGTGCATTTCAGGCTCATTCCCAAGGCAGGGCTGTTGTGCTTGCTTCCCCTCCGCCTAGAATACCCTGCCCCCGGGGTCCACAGGTCTAGATGCGGCATCCTCAGAAACTAGCCCTGCCCCACCGCTCACCTCCAGGAAAGCTGGAGGTCACTGCCACATGCCCCGTTTTCTTTTCGTCAGAGCACCTGCTACTCTTCACAGTTTGTCGGTTTGTGCAGCTGGCTCCTATTTCTTTTTCCAAATAGAAGAAAAGAATACAAGACCCTCAGAGACTTTGCCTGTCCTGTTCGCCCCTGGGGACTCCTTCCTCTCGCAGCAAAGCAAGCACATCATAAGCACTTAACAAATACGTATTGAACGAGTAGGAGAGACGAAGGCAGTACCACGTAAAGGGCAGAGCAGCTGGAAAGCGGGGAGCCCAAGGAGAACATGCTGGTCGTCGGCGTCCTAGAGCACAGACATGTCGGGAGTGACAAAGAATGAAGCTGACCGGAGGGGCCTTGGCTGTGCTTAGTTTAGACTTGACCTGTCAGCAGTGAGGAGCCACCAAAGGGCTTTAATCATGGTCAGGTTGACATTTGAGGGAAATGACTCCCTGAGTGAGATCTCACACGATGAGAGGGACAGGTTAGAGGCAGAGAGGCCGGTTAGACCATTGCCATGTCCCAGGCAAAAAGGTGCTGGTGTTGGGGCTCTGACCCAGGGCAGTGGCAGCAGGGATGGAGAGAACAGGTGGGTTGCTGTGTGGGTGCTAAGAACAGGGGCGCAGGTGCAACTACCCCTCAGAAATCACGAGGGCAGGTCCCCATGCCTCCTGCAGCCAGGTTCCTCAGGCTGAGCCCACCCCTTGGGGCAGGGGCTGGAGCCAGGAGAGTAGCTGTAACATTGGGTTCCTGGAACTGTGTCCCTGTAGGGAATTCCATGCCCCAGCCCTTTGGCAGCATGTCAAATGGTAGCGGCAAACACAGCCGGAGGGAAAAGGTAAGATCTTGGATCTGGGCCAACGCTAGATGCTCCCCGCTCCGTGGGAGAAGTTGGTTAGAGCTGTGACAAGTGCACAGAGGGTGGCAGTCTCGAAGAAATGAAGTCAGAAACCTCTTCATGGGGCTGCTGGTCCCAGAGGAGAGAGGTCTCCAAAGGCGGTATCTGCCAGCCAGAGATAGTCGTTCCAACAGTCGCTGGCCACGGGGCTAGGGATCCAGGAGGAATGTTGCCCAGTGAAGCCTGATCTAGCGAGGGATGCAGGCAGTCGGGGACGGGGGACGTTCTCCAGCGTGAGAAGCACGAGACCAAGCTGGCATTCCAATAGCACACGAGGAGGGCATTTCACACACTAGGGGAGAGCAGGTGCATCACAGAGGACTTCCTGGAGGAGGTAGGATTTGAAGGCCGAGAAAGGAGGAATGAGGACATACAGAGCATGGGCCTAGAGGGAGGGAGGGAGTGCAGGGGCAGCGGAGACCAGAGGTAGACAGGAACAGGGAGCGTTCAGAGGAAGGCAATGTGAGAACATAAACAGCTGCACAAGCTCATTACGATTATTTCTTCACAGGGAGATGGTGACGGTGGTGATGGGGGATGACGGTGGGCTCCCTCATCATCACAGCTCACTCATTCTGGAGACGCGTGACTCAGAGAAGTCATGCGAGTGCTCTGAGCCTCCGGTCACCATCTGATAAATGGGGGACAGTGATGCCTTTGTCACAGTGTTCCATGGATGCTTTATGTTAAGTGACCAAAAACAGGACACGGCACCAGGAGCACAGCATTCCCTGAGGTGCATTTTTTCCACAGATCACAATACCGAACCCATC